TATATATACACACACACACACACACACACACACACACAAATTTATAAAAACATAAAAATACATAAAAAAATCCAAAAATAAATTTAATTAAGATTGTATTTTTAAGGAAATTTTACCTTGCTTGCGTTATTTGTTTATGCGAAATATTGGATCTAAAGGTTTAGTAGCTTACGATTCAGAATTTGAACGTACTATTAGAAAAATTTCAAAACAACAAAGAGAAACTAAAAATTTGAAAGAAATGATGAATAATATAGAAAATCCAATAAATGAAAATCGATAAAGACCTTTAAAAGATTATGCAAATCCGACATCAGATGAACTTCATTTAACTATTCAAAATCGTGATGTTGTTGCTAATTCATTTGAGCTTAAACCTGCTATTATCCAAATGATACAAAATAATCAGTTTGAAAGATCCCCTACTGATGATCCTAACTTACATCTTGCTAATTTTTTTTGAAATTTGTGCTACATTTAAATATGACAGAATGTCTAATGATGTTGTTAGGCTTAGACTTTTTCCTTTTTCACTAAGGGATAAAGCCAAGGCTTGGTTAAATTCATTAGCACCCGGATCTATTAGAACTTAGAGAGAACTAACACAAAAATTCTTAGCTAAATATTTTCCACCATCGAAAACCGCTAAGCTTAGAAATGGTATTACATCTTTTCGTCAGTTTGAAGGGGAATCAATATATGAAGCCTGAGAAAGTTTTAAGGATCTTCTTAGAAAATGTCCACACCATGTTTTTCTAGATTGGTTAATAATTCAAGCCTTTTACAATGGATTGGTAGGATCATTATAATGTATTATAGATGCTGCTGCGAGTGGATCATTAATGCCAAAACCTTTTGATGAAGCATATTCTTTAATTTAAGAAATGACTTTTAACAATTTTCAATGGCCCTTTGAAAGGGTAAATCATAAGAGAGTAGCCAATATTCATGATTCTGATGCAATGTCTATTTTGGCATCTCAAATTGCTGCTATTTCTAAAAAGTTTGATCAAATAGGGGTGAACTATTCTCAAATACCCCCAGTATTAGAGGAAAATTCATTAGGACAATTATTGATACTCAACAATCTTATGAAACTTTAAACGCTATAAATAATCAAAATAACAATCCTTATTCTAATTATTTTAACCCTGGATGGAAAAATCAACCTAATTTTAGTTAGAATAATTATAATAATTTGGTGAATCATTCTAGAAATCTGAACAATCAAGGAAATACCTTATTATCCTAACCCACAAGTTAATGATAAGAAGTTGACAATGGAAGATTTGATGTTGATTATGGGAAATCAAATACAGAATCAAGGGGCTGCTATTAGAAATATTGAAAATCAATTAGGACATATTGCTACTGCACTTAGTAATAGACATTCTGGAATTCTTCCGAGTACTGTGGAAGTTAATCCAAAAGATCAAAATAAAGAGCAAACTAAAGCGATTAAATTACGAAGTGGAAAAGAAATTGAAACAATGATCTAAAGAGAAACTGAAGTTGATGAAGAGAAGAAAGAAATGGAAAATGATCAACAGAAAAATGAACAAACACAGGTTCCTGTAGAAAAATTCATTACCTCCGTTTCCTCAGAGACACTAAAGCAGAAGAATAAAGATAAACAATTTATAAAATTTTTGGAAATCCTTAAAAAGTTAACGATAAATATTTCGTTTATTGAAGCTTTAGAACAAATGTCATGTTATGTTAAATTTATGAAGGATGTACTAAATAAGAAAAGGAAGTTTACAGATCATGAGACCGTTGCACTTAGTGAAGAGTGTAGTGCTATTATTCAGAAAAAGCTTCCTGAAAAATTAAAAGATCCTGGTAGCTTTACTATACCTTGTGCAATTGGTGAAAAGTTTTTTGGAAAAGCTTTATGTGATTTAGGAGAGAATATCAATCTTATGCCTTTATCAATCTTTAAACGTTTTGGGAGAATTAAATTTGGGAGAAATTTCCCCTACTACTATAACACTTCAGTTAGTTGACTGATCAATA